GGGAGCGGCCGGGACCAGGAGCGGGCGGCGCCGGCAGCCGCGGGCGGCGGAGTTCCAGGACTTTCGCATCAAAACAGGAGGTGATGGCTGATGCTTTTTCTGCTTTCAGGATATCTCTGTAGTCTCGATTTCCTACAGATTCTGTGAGCATAATGAACTGTGAGGCCGTGCTGCAGCATCTCCTACAGTGTCTTGTACGATTTCTGTCCTGTAATTTTTTCAGAATATTCAGGAGCTCTGAAACCTCCATCCCTCTGCCCAGCTGGACAGAAAAACCTCTCCATGCCTTCTAAAGGAACTTATTTCCTAAACCTTTCCTTGGGTCATTAGGTAGAAAAGTAAATTATGCTGACCTTTTAACTCTGGAGAATGTAATTGAAAGAAAACAGAATTTCAGCAGTCGTTGATAATTTAATGATGAGTTAGTGAGGGTCTCTACTCTTCATTAAGGGGCCTTAAAAATTCCAACAAACTGGGTAGCTCCTATGATGGAACTAAATGGTTGAGCTACACACAAATCAATTTTTACACTTTTTTTTTTTTTTTTTTTTTTTTTTTCCCAGATATGAAGCACTGTGGCCTGTGATATTTATTTTTGCTGTTTTCACCACTGGAGGATGGCTGACAGACTCTGTGAAAATGGTTCTGGTCAGTACCACTGCACCCACACCAGCCAACCTCTTGAAATCAGCTACATGTTGGTCCTGATTATATTTGGAAAAGTCTTCCTTGATTTCTTCATGTTGCAAATTAAGCCAAAACCTGTGAAAGTCAGTTTTATGGGATATTTCTGCATTTCAGTGGCACTTCTTGATTTTGCACTGCTGCTGAGTATCTGTTTCATTTTCTGTTTTGAGGACTTTGCACTGTGGGGCGTGCGATTCACAGAGTACCACATCTGCCTCTTCACTCAGATCACTTCTCTGACCTACGGGATTTTGCCTTACCCAGTGTATCTTGTGGCTGCTCTGGATTATTACACCACCGTCCCCCAAACATCCCGATTCCCTAAAACAGGTCGGAAGTTACTTTATGTATTTGCTGTGGTGCTTATATGGATTTCCAGGTTTTTTTGCACTCTCCAAGTTCCCGCTGTCTCTGAAGAGCTGGAAATGCAGAACAGCGTTTCCCCTTCGCAGTGCCCTCTCTCCGGCAGCCTGCAGAGCTACTGGGTGTCGTGTGCCATGGTGCTGCTGCTGGCCACGGCTCTCCTGGCTCGCTGGAAGGAGGTGACAGCCATGCTGCTGTCTGCCAGGCTCCTCTCCTTTTCCAGCCAGCCTGTGCTGCTGTTCCCCTACGTGCCTAACAACAACAACACTCGCTTCAAGTGGCAGCTCCTGAGCAGGCTCCTCCTGTGTTTCCTTGGCACTTGGGCGCCGTTTGTTGTTCTCCAGGTGGTGGTTCTGCTCCTGGGTGTGCAGATCCCAGCCTATGTGGAGATGAACGTGCCCTGGCTGTACTTCATCAACAGCTTTCTCCTGGCAGCAGCCTACTGGTGCCGGTGCCACCAAGTGGAGCTGACAGAGGAAGGGTGGTGCACAGACCCCTTTGTCAGCTGGAAATTCTGCTTTATGCCGTTCAACAATGAAAGCACAGAGCCAGCTGATAAGCCAGGCCCAGTAATCGTCAACTGTTAATGAGCTGCAGACGGAAAAGGCTGCAAAGAACTCCGATGTTGGCTGGCTGGGTCCTTACAGACAATACAAGGAAACATCTCCAGAGGTTCACTCCGTGGAAATAAGTGCAGTGTCCAGCAATACTTCAGTGGATATTGCACTGCAGTTCAGGACACCGAGTCCCAGTGGGCAGCAAGCACTGCCACGCCAGGGAATTCAACTCCAAATTACATGTTTAAAAAACCACTGCTTATATAGGACAAGTTTTCAGTTCAACTTCGTGTTTCTGACTAGAATTCTACAGTTCCTTTAACTGGAATTATCTCAGGTTTTACAGTACAAAATGCAATAAAGTCTTCAAGGCTGGAGTTACATACAGAAGCTGACCTAAGTGTGAAAAACGAGGTTCAGTCTCCTGTTAAATTTTAAAAGGTTTAATAAAGACAATGAGAGACAGAAAATAAAGCAGAGTAATGGCTGTGTGCCTTGGCACTCTGCCAAGAGCGTACCTGGTATCCTGGGAACACTCCTTTTATATCATTTTGCTGTAATGGTTAAATGCATATTCAAACTTTTCCAAGAACTATTTTGCATGGCTACTCCTTGGGTCTGCCTGTTTAGAGCATGCACTTTTCAGGTTTAATTTCCCTTTTATCATTCTTTTATTTGGGCTGGGGTTCTTTCTTCCACAGGCAGTAAGTGTTGACAGCACCCTTGGCCCCATCATCTGTTTACTGGAGGTTATCTTGCTTTGCTCAGGCAGGACTAACCCAAACATCCAAAATTCTTCTGGAACTTCTTCTGGAATTCTTCTAAATTTTAGCTAATAGGAGGAGAAAAAGAAAAAGACATAGCAAAAGCTATCTAACATAATACACATAAACATTCATATTAATACTTGTGAAAAGTCAGTATCACACTATGTATTTATAAGGTTCAAATGACTTTTTGAAGTGCATTTTGTTGTTAAAATGTGGGTTTTTGTCAGCTTGATGGAAAGGTTACTGTCTGTTTAACAAGAAATAACTTGTTTTAGTTAAAGATACAACTCCTACAGAAATAGAAACTTTATATAGTACAAAACCAGTGCAAAAGCAGTGCAAGATGTGCAATTTCCACAGCCACAGGAGAGGTGCTGCTTCATTGCTTCTTTTCTGCTGCTCCTCTAAGGTACATGAACATATTAAAATCAAAATAATTAGAGCAACAAGCATCAAGGTTAGCTGGTATACATAAATAAATGTCCAAGGTTAAAGAATGATTTAAATTAAAATATAGCTTATTTTGAAGACAAAATTACTTTAAAATAGTTAAATACAAAGTGGGACTATTTTAGCAGGGAAAAAATTAGTCAGGCTTCTAGCAAAAATACTCTCAATTTTCAAATTCTTGAAATTTGATTTTGTGTAAGAGAAATAAATTATACACGACCAAAGCAGACAAATGAAATTAGCATTTATTTCTGAAGCACTAAACTCACAATACAATGTTGTATTGAAAGAGAAACTAAGTGATGCTGTAGGTTGGTTAATTGTCCCCCAGACCCACAGGGAACAATGATTTCACACAAGAATACTCATTAAGAAAACTCTGCAGATAACAAAAGGTGCAATTACAAGCAAGTTTAAGCAGCATAGTATAAGGTGCTTTGTTTCAGCATTTGAAGGATGGATTTACCCATTAACAGACAGATCAAAGAAATGTCACTTTTACAGATCATAACAAATGAGAGAATCTAAAATTCATTCACATGCTTGTTGGTAATAGGAAAGTGCTTCTTAAAAAAATGATTCACAAAGTAAAGATTATACTTTTACATAGTTCATTGTGTGCTCTTCAACTGTAAAATTTAAATTTTGGGTAATAATTTACTTTATTATATATCAATTATAGAGATAGATTTAATTGCAGAATTTAATACTACATGGGTTAAATTTTCTTATAAAAGAATATTCCAGTATTTCACTCAATAAGAATACACAATCACATCTCAATCATAAATTAATCTTTGATTTCTGAAACATATCAAAATCTGATTATTTTGATTTATTACTTCACCCCACATAGTGCTTCTTTTACCCACAGTCTGTGGTAAATTTCTTTGAGGTTTCTGTGATGTAATCAAAAGGGGACAAGCATTTTTCAGCAGTAAAAATGATTTTGGGGGAAAATCTGTTTAAAAGGCCATCAAAAGGATAGTAAATGATCGAAAACTGAATTTTAAAACTAGTGCAATAAGAGGAGGCAATGCTTAGCAACATTGTTTGAAGTGTTTTGGCACCACAAATTATTTCATTTTTTATGCAGGAAAATGTACTTGGGGGAAATTCTCTTTCCATGTTAAAAGTAGGAAAGCACATGCAATGTTAACTGGAAAAACAACCCTAAGCAATCGCTCCCTGCTCTCTCAAACTAATTGCTGTTAACTAGAGCTGGAGATGCTGTAGGATAAACCATGGCTAAACACAGGGTTTTGACACAACATTTCTTCAGGTTTTATAGAAACTGGACACCCACTGAAATGGGGCTGACAAAATATTTACAAAACCTAATTCCATTTAAAAATCAGCAAATACATCAAATATAAGAATGCACCAGGCATTTCAGAATCATGAAATAACTAATCCCTACAGACTCGGCAGGCAGGGGGAAATTCCTCTTTTAAACAGCAGATGAAGGCAAAGCTATTTTCAAGTTCATTTCAGGTGTGTTTTGCATGGTAAGTCTCACCCTTCTGAATCACTAACATGCACAGAACTGGAACTGCAACCAGTTGGGTGAGGCTGCTGACATGTTTTATTCATCAGTGTGGTTCAGCTTCCCAAGCCCTAATTAAAGTTTACACAACCCGGTCTGCCCTAACGTGCCAGAATTCCTGTAGCTGCTGCAGTGCTCCTAAAGCCACTTGAAATTTTTAACATTTTTTATAGGGAATCCACAACATGAAGCCAAAGCAAATATTAATGGATTGATGTTACATCACTGTATCACTTGTCAAATTTATTCTTTCTTACTTTTTGTAGAAAAGTGCCAAAGAGCATCAACTTTTAGGTTGTCACCTCCATAGAGGAGGTAACAGTGGCACTGCAGGTCTCCTCCAACATCCAACTGTGGTGCCTGAGCCTGCCAAGTGACTATTTTAAAACATATTAATGGTAACTCTCTTTGCAAGCCCACTTTTATCCTTGGCATTCATGGAGAGAGACACCAGCTGTGCAGTGATCTCCATCCTACTGCCTTCCTAACAATTGTATCTTTTCCTCTGGGCATTTGTTTTTTAACCTGGTGCTTCTGGGCAGTACCAACACTGGTACCTGGACCATCCCTCTCTAGAACAGGGTGACAGTTTCACTGCCAAAGAGGACAGAAGCTGTGCCAGGAAGGTGGAAATATCTGAAATAAAACAACTACAGATAACCACTGCTACATCTCCTCTGTACATCACTTCTTGTGCTGTGCCAGCAACTAATGGCCTTACACAATTCAAACACCTTACAGTCCTAAATTCTTGTAAGATTATTCGATATTAATGCTAACAACAGCTGAAGTGTTAATCCTTTATGGGAGACTTCTGTACTTTTCTCATTTAAAGAATCTCTTACAAATCAACATTGACTTTAATGAGATATTCTATGTGTTTTCAACTCTAAACAGAGTATTTGGCACTCAATGATAAAATCTTTCTTTACACACATCTTTCCTGGTCAGTACTGGCTTGTTCATTTTATAACACAAAGACTAATTGAAAAGGAAATTTGGTGTGCAGAATCCCTCACTGCTCTTTCCAAAAATGAATTTGCAAAATGCTACCAGAGGATGGAAGCATCCTGGCTGGGTAGTGGAGGACAACACAAGCCTTCCACAGGCTGCCCAGGCTTCACCCACAAAGCAGATCTACCTCATGAATCAAAGACATTTGTGCTTCAAACCTAATCCCATAATCAGCACAGACACCCTGATTATTACCTAGCAACAACACCACAAGCCTGCCAATAACCCTATGTACCAATGGGGTATAAACACAATTAGAATGCTCCTTCAGTGTTATGTATTGCACTTCAACAGTGTTTATGATCACAATTCTATGAATACACAATTGTGCTCAAGTTACAATTACTTCTAGATGGAAAAAAAATCTTTTAAAATTTCATTTTTCTATGTCCTTACTGTACAGAGTAATTTGGATAATTCAATAGGAATACTTAATGGAAGTTTAAAAAAAATTAATTTGAATTCTGTTCATAACACTGGCTCCCAGAACTGTGCTTCAGAACAGTTAAATCTGTGGCTACAAAAGCTGGACTATGAACTTACTCCATTCCTGAAATTTCCAGCACATTCACACCTCTGAACTCTGCTTTTTCCCTTCCACTTTGCTGTAAGAGATTGAAAAATACTATGCAGCCTACAAATGAATGAGCAGGTGTGGGTTTTAATGCAGAGGTTACACAAACCTACACAGCAGCTCAGATGGGACCTTGAGCACACGTGGAAGTGCTGCCCATGGATCCCAGGGGTTAAAGCAGGACACAATATGCCCCAGCCCCGAGAGCTGACACCCAAGAGAGCAAAATGCCACTCTAAGAAATTGAGTGGGGAAGGAAATGTCAGATTTCCAAAGAGATGAAGATGGTAAAAACAAACCAGGCCGATTCTCATGGATTAGGGTAATGTGTGCTCACTGCCTTGGTGCTCAGTCTGTGTCCCAGGCCCCAACTCCATCAGCTCAGACCAGGGACAGCTTCCTGAAAAAGCTTCCTGAAAAACCACACACCTGGCACTTGTCTGGAGCATCACTGTCTCTTTTTCAAATGTCACCATTTGCAAAGCCATCCAGGGGATGTAACTACACAGAACCTTTCAGATCTAAATAAACTCTCATGACTAAAGGCAAATTCTTTTATAATTAATTTAATTTAGGCTCATCTTAAATGAGCTAAGTATTAAATGAATTTAAAATTTATTTTTCCTCACAGTATTTCCTGTCTGAAACTATAGCTCACTATAAAGAGTGACTTGAAAATTAATTCACTATGAGCAATTAACACTTTACACTGAAATTACTCATTGATCGCTCTGCTCATACCTGTTCCATGCAGCATTGAACAGGAACAGTGTATTTAAAACAAAATACTCTAAAATATTAGCTTCTCTCCATCTCTAATAACTAATTTAGGCAAATATTAAAAAACTGTCCTAGACTGATTGTTTTGCACAATCATTATCTGCAGCCTAAAACAATCAAGGAGGAAACATCTGGTTAACCATGACAACAGGACATCTCTATACAACACTGGTGAGAAAATAACCCTGCAAGCTTTATAGATACTGAGTTTTAATAGGAGCAGTCTCAGTACAATCAGAACTACTCATGTTATAAACTATGGGGATGTTTGCAAAACCAGGACTCAACACAGCTGTCACTGAATTCTTTGAACACTCAGAGCTGTAGATTTGTCACTGTGTAAGAAATCTGTTGAGCTCTTGAGGCAGAAGTTCCTGCATGGATATTGTGATATTAGAATGAGAACATCCATTTGAAACTGGCATTAGCTGTAGCTGCCATGTCAGGCAGTGAAACACCACACCCAGCCCAGTCTCACAACAAACTTCCATTCAAATTACATTTCAATGGTTTGTACCTGAATATTTCCTTACACATCAAGATAGAGCAATAATGCAAAAGCTGCCCAAAGAGTTGGTTTTATCCCATCCTTTCCTCTTTCTGCCACATCTGCAGCTACATAGGACTCCATGTGTTCTATCCAAAAGGCTGGATTCATTTTTGGACAAAGCACAGGTAGAAGTCAGGGAGTAAATACCTGCTTTCACAGGAAAGAAATTAGGAAATGGATGCTTGCAGCACATAAATCTTCTATTTGAAATGTCTCATGGACAAAAATCTAATAAAGACTTTACCCTCCACAAAGAACTTCATTTCTGGAAAAAGATGATGGGTTAATGGGTAAAGAATGGATTTACAATACAGCCAGTTTAAAAACCCTTCAGACACTCTCTGGTGAGCCAAAACAACTGGCACCTGAAGCTGAGACAAGTGTCACAGTTCTAGTCTACTGGATGAAATCTTGACAGCCACCTTTAGCCCAGTGCTCTGCAAAAGGGCCTTGCCCTGAGCTAATGCTGCAGTTTCTGCTAAGGAGTAGGGTAGGATGGAAAGTGGTGAAGAAAAAGGAAGGGAAAAAGCCGTGGAATGTATCTCCCTTCTGAGCTATTCCTATAGAAGCTGAAATACTGCAAGCATTACAAGTGTTAAAATACAATTAAAATCTTTAATACTTCTTTTGCAAGGGGGTACAGCCTAACGTGTGGGAAAGCCATGGGAAATGGTAGGATAAGCCTGGGAAGACCTCACCTATTGAACAGCAAGTGGCCAGTATGTAAAATGGTTCTGGAGAAATGTTACTCTAAGTATTATATTGCTTTTCTGAGCAAATTCATAAGCTTCCCAAGTAGACTTCAGTTGCACTTGGAAATTTTTCAGCCTACTTTCACATACAAGTGTGAATTTTTTTAAAAGATTGATTTTATTGACACAGCTACACTGGCAAACACTCCCATACAAGTGCACTTCTATCAGTACAGGTCAGTATAGCTGCCTCTGCTTTTAAGTTCCAGTTAATTGCCAAAATCACCGACGAAGAAAAAAAAACTTTCAATATGCATAAGGTCCACATTCTAAGCTTTTGCATTCATGAATATTTAAAGCATAACTCATTATCTGTGGCTCTCCCAAACCCACAGGGAATGTTACATACCAGACAAACGGGACCAGATGTGCCTTAGTGGGGTCTGCTCTGAGCTCCTGGCACCTGGCAGTGATTATGGCTGAGCTGGACACAAACACTAGCTGGAGAAGCTCTCCTGAAAGCTGTCTAATAAAGCAAAATTAAAGCAGCCATGAAATTCCCATGCATGTAACACTGATTAACTACAGGTCTAAATAAGACCCCTAAGTCCACATTTTCTAGTACACCTTAAGCCATTATCAAACCACATTTATGTATCCCTACTTTTTACATTGCCTAAGAACAGTACAATCAGAAGACAGATTAAAAATTAGCAAGTGAGATTTCTGTATAAAAATAATAAAACTTTAAGACAAAAGCCAAAGGATAAATATCTAAGATATCTTTAGTCTTCAGTTAGCTCATCAAAACAGAACATATCCTTTAGAACATATGTTACAGATATGCTACACTGTGTATCTTACAGAAATGCTACAAATGAGAACCCACTATCTCCATCATTTGAATGTTTTTCAAATGAACATTAGCAAACGTTGGAGCTTCAACTAAGTAGTTTATTTTACAACAGTAACTGAAAACAGAAAAAAAAACAAATTAGAAAGTGCTTAGCGACTTCCCTCCAAAATAAACCCAGGCATCAATTCATCCTCTAAAGCTTTGGTGCCGTTTGGATAAGGGCTCTCACCACATACCAGCGTGCAACTGCAGTGTGTTGTCCTAACTTGCAGCTTCAGTGGTTAATAAAAACATTAATAACATCTGCTATTAGCAAGCTCAAACAGTTGTAATTAAGAACAATGATTCTAACGTTGATCTCCAGAAGGTAATGGTAGAAAATCTGTTAGTGGAAACAAAGCAATAGTCTAATTAAAGGAAAATGAAGCACAGATTTTTCTGTAATCCAAATTTACTCTTTAAGGTCATTAGTTAAATAATATACGTATTAATCTGTCTGTCACAAACCTGCCTTTCAGCCAGTGTATGTGCATTGACTCCTTTTGATCTAGGGCAGCAGTTCTCAAACTTTAGGTCAGTTCCTTTTCTCCTTAGGAATACTGTACAGGCCCCTGAATACCTCCCTACACAATCATATATTATGCATTAATTTGCATAAAATACAAAAAATACATTATTTGCAGACACATACACATATTTAATTCAAATATACACAATGACTATCAGCACATGTACCCTTCTTTCCCTAAACAGGAGCTTAGGAATCCAGGTCTCTACATAAGGGGAGTGGAGCTACAAAAGGGAGGGAACAGAAGTACAAAATGCATCCATGAGCATCCATGCACAGGTGGTGGGGAACCAAAGGCCAAGAAGGTGCTGCTGCCTCAAAGCCCAGGCAGCTTCCAAGAGCATCAGTAACTGGAGAAATGTATTTGCTCCACAGAGTGTGAGAGGGAAGATGGAGTGGGACACTAAAATCCCACCACTGGGGTCTGCAGCATCCAAGACAAAATCTCTTGCCAGAGGGACAAATCAGGGCCACTGCATAATTCTCCCAGAGTTGCCAACGCTGGCATTCCTCCTGCTGACCTGCAGCTCCAGGCTCCCTCATGGCAGCAGCAGCTACTCCTGCACAAGCTCTGAGGGTGGCCTCACTGTTCCTTCCTCAGAGAACAGCCAGCACAGCTCACACTGGCCCCTGGATAAGGAAAAGGTGCTTGGAAGCTTCCAGTGAGGCAACGAGAATGCGCTACAGGGAAAGACATGTTAGAAGAGGTATCAGGAAAAAGAACATCTGGGCTATGCTGTCCCTTCTTTACCCCCAGTCTCTAAAGCAACTTGTCTTAACATGAGCTGGTCCTGGCTGCAGTTTTCAGGCCCTCACACCAAGGCATTTGGGAACCTGACCCCAAGTGCTCACACACTTCCTCAGGGTCCACTCTGAACCCCCATTTGAGAACTGCTGGTCTAGCTTAACTAGCAGCATGTGAAACTACAAACCTAACACTTAATGCCCCCTTAGTGCATAGCAGCATTCAGAGTAAAGTAACATGTGCTTCAGTTACCTCTGGCAGGAGTGTCAGTAGCCTGATCACGAGGATTTTGATGAGACATCTACATGGGTTATGGTATTTTACAGACTTCAAGAAAATACTATAGTGGCAGAGATGAGGATAAGCCTACATGAGGAAAACCAGCTGCCAACCTACCCCTTACAAACAATTTGCTCAAGACTAAAACAAACTCAGAGAGCACAACTAAATGCATAGCATTTTACTGGTACTAGTGCTTCCACAGGGCCTGTGGACACTTCTGTTAGTTCAGTCCAAACACTGCTGTATGTGGGAAAAGTCTTTCAGAATACAGCAACACAATTTAAATGGTGTCTAGATTGGGGTGGGGACTGGGATATTAATCATAACTCATAAGATGAAGTACATGTTGGGGAATACCTAACCTATCACAGCATATTTCACTTCATGTTTTTCCATGAAAAATTTCAACTCAAAGCATTACTCAGGTTTTACTATAAACCTATTAGTTGTTGAAAACTACAGAGGACTCCTGGTATAATCAAAGGAATAGTTTAAAGTCTTTATGTGAGGAGAGCCCCACCTACTTAACAAAACATCACAGTAACACTCATGCCACGGTGAAGATGTTGGCATATTACTGTCGGTTCCGTCACTGAGAAACTGTTGTTTAAACCTTCATGTTCACCTCCTAGGATTCTTTCAAGGAATTGATACGTGCACAGATTTTCAATGCAGGTCCAAGCTTAATATTCATTGCACTCATAAGGTGATCCTCCTTCAACAAGAGGAGAGCTTGTCCATCAATTTCTTGTGCTCTAAATTCATCTGCAATATCTTGACAACCTAAAGGTAATAAAAAATATGATTAAGAAATGTCCATTCTTAGGTCAAATGATTTTATCCACACCAGATCTTTTCAGCTACACATTTTCCAGTGCCCATCCCTTTAGCTTGTTGAACCTAAATTACATGCAAGAGTTCAATGTTATGATGGGAATTCCGAAATAATATGAAAGTAATCTTTACTACAGCCTCTAATTACACTGTAGCTCTTGGAGAACTACTCATTGGGAGTTTCAAGTCCCAGCAAAGACAGAATTTTCATTTCATTAAGAGGAACAACCTCTCATCATTGGAAGTGATTGGGTAAACAGCACTGAAATAGCAATCAGGAACATAATTAAGTGGGTTCTTTCCAGCAATAAAAAGATATTATTATCTAAGTCTATAAAAGATAACTATATTATACTGCTATGTGCAGTGAGAACATCCAAATAGCTACAATTTCCAAAAGGAGTTAATTCCATCTGTGTGTTACACCACTGAACTAAGGAAACAAAGTTTTGATGTATGGGCTTTGGCACAAATATCTCATGAAGATATTTATCATTAGTTATCAGAGTGAATATTCTACACATAGCAGTAATTCACTTCACAAGTGCAACTTTAATATGGTTGGATCTTTTTTCCCCTTGTTAAACTCCTTTTCTCAACATGAAATACCAGTCTCAGGTTACTGAAGATCATAACATAAAAAAGACTCTACATGGGTTTGACAGTCCTGAGTAACTGAGGGCCCCTTTCCACTAAAGAACACTGTGGAAATAAAGGTTCCTCCAAAGATGTTCTGGACATGTGCTGAGCAGAATCAGCCAGCTCTGCCTGGCTCTATGGCAGCTCTGTTAGATGGATAAATGTCTTCAAACAATATCCATGAGAGCACTCATTGTCAGTTGTTTATTTGAAGCTTCTTTCCCCCAGCCATGTTTTCAGTGGGGTTTTTTAATACATTTGTGTTCTTAATCCAGCAGTCTCTCCATCTGTCTCAGAGCCTTTCAGACACACTTGAATTTGTGCTCCACCTTCCATTCCTGATTTCAATTATTCCTCAAGTAAGCTGATTTTTTGGCATTTTTGCATTTTCCCTTTTTAAAAGTACACTGTTATAGAAATATGAAATTACTGTGAAGAACTTTTCTACCTAGATGACAGCAACTAATTTTGTATTCTCTTATGTGTTCAGATTTAAATTCCATAAAAAATAGGTAAACTAATTTCCTGACGGATTTACAAATGTGTGCAAGGCAAATGGAAAGGAAACGTGGAAGGAAGTATCAACATCCAAACCTGAATTCATTTGGATTATTACTGTGTGAAGGTTGTAACATTCAAGGTTGGAAAAAGTTAGCTTTTCACAAAAAATAAAGCACAATTTTTTTAATGATTTGTTAATCAGATCTCATGCAACAATTAGCTCTGAAATCATCATAAAGGTTTTCTTATTGAAGTGTTGACAACAGATAAAACATCTGCAAATCAAATATTGAGTATTTCTGGGAAAGGTATCATGGCATGTCTGATTTGAGACCTGAACATGGTGATTGCCAGACCATACCATTTACAAAGAATCTGAGAGATCAGGAGAAGTTCTTATATTTAGGAACAAAGCTGTTCCTATTGAAATAGGAAACTGGATATTTGCTGCTGCTAGCTTTTTCCTTTAAGCAATTTCCATGAAACTTCTTAAATACTTTTTAAGTAGTTTATCACAGTCATTTTTGGAAAAGCAGAGGATGGAAGTTGAAGGTATTGCAGTTCCCTCATCCTGAGTATATTCTTAAACACTTTTGCAATTGCTTGTTGTGCAATAACTTGGCCAAAAAAAAAAAAAAAAAGGGTGGGGAGCAGGTGAAAGGTAATTGATCTTGCAACTGAAGAAAGAACAATTCTGCTCAGCTTAAGCTGATCTGTCAATTCCCCCAGAAGAAGCAGCTAACAGTGCAAATGTCCTGGACATTGACTCCTCCAAAAGGCTCCAGAGGAGCTCAGGAAAGGCCTGACAAAGACACAAGTCCATTTCAGCTACAGACTGCACAGAAAGCTATAAATGAAAACAGATGTCCCTAATGTTTATGGAAAAGTGACAAATCACCATCTCCTGCAGCATGGCAGATGGTCTGCACAGACTGCACCAAGTAGATATACAATATAAAATGCCATACTGAAAATCATCTATATTATTTTCTGCATTAACCAATCTTGGAAGTATATGATAAAACAATTTTTCAAGAGAGTGACTTGAAATATACTGGAAAGAATAAATCCCAAAATCACCCAAAAAGCCAAATTCAGTGATGTAGTAATAAAAATTCTGGCATGTTGTGAATATAAGTTTAAATATCTATTGAACTTTTTTTTAAAAAAGTATTTGAAAAACTAGGAATTCATATGGAGAGGAACAAGCAACTGTAATAAATTTTTATTACATACAAATAAATATAAGTTTGCTTAAAATCAAAGATCACATTGTTTATAGACTACAAAAAACTAAACCAGATCCAGCAGCTAGTGAAATACTCTAAAAGTAATGGATCCAAAACAGAAACCACATTTTAAGAATAAAATTTCTTGTTTCATATTTGCAAGTGAATTGTGTTTATGTGGCACTTCAATTATTCTAGCACAGGAACTACCATTTCTTGAGACCCTAGGATTAGTTACTGAATTAACTAGAGCCTCAAATCCATAAAAACAGTAACTGAAAACAGCAGTGATTGAACTACACTATAACAAAGCTCAAGTACAGAAACAGGAATGACCACATCCCATACCTAAGAGCTTTGCTTGTTTCCACAGCCATCACTGCAGGTTCCCAGAAGCAGATAGTGTTATGAATTGCAATAAACTATCAGAAGAAAGGTACTTGAAGGCTGACTTTTGCAGATTTTAGACATCTCTTACTCAATTCTTTGCCTGACCTACTACAAAAGACTGTCTGTCATAATGCATGTATGACTTAGCAGTGAAGATATATTCCTTACAGGTTAATAGTCTAATAGGATTCACAAAAAAATCATATAGCATTCCAGAAAAAGTAGAAAATCAGGAACAAACGTAGCCTTGGTTTTAATGGATAAGCAACAAAAATTCTGGTATGACTGCTGCTGTGGAATTCTGCCTTGCTATCTGTAGGGGTTACAATGTCTGATCAGATAAAATGGCATCCTTGGGAAGAAGTGGGGAGTGAAGCTTTAAATGTTATGATAGTTAGGAAATGATAAATATCAAATAACCTGAAGATGACATAAAGGTAACTGTGAATATTGAGCTAAAGGAAAGGTTTGTGAACAAAGAAAAAACAGATTATTTTTTCTGAGAACAAGCTGAGATCAGCAGTATGCAGCATTTCTAGGCAGAAGATCTCTGAGCAAAGCTATGCAAAATAAATTTTAACTTTATGGCAGAAAGTTGCTTGTTCTTTTTATCATGAAAGGTCTTTCAAACTTTTCAGTTGTATCAAGGGAAGTAACACTGTTCTTGCTTTTTCTACTGAATAAGCAGCAAGGGAGGAAGGAAGAGAAGAAGGAACAAGTGAGGAGGGAAGAGAAGAAAGCAGTGTACAGGGAAGAAGTCTGATCTCTCTACTGACCTCTTGAGAGAAGTCAGACTGAAGGAAGGAACAGCTCTAATCTCCATCAGCTGGGATGCAACAGCAGAAGTGGGATTAGTTCTATCAATATGGGATTTGTGCTGAAGGAACAAGCAAGAGGAAACAAATCACATTCCAGTCTCCATAACCAGCTAACACTGCTGCTGTTACCACACCACCTCCTCATCACAGTGCTGCTATAAAGCAAGGAACTTCATTGTTAAAACCAACAGAACAAGTTATTGCCCTTTCCATACCAGGCAGAGAATGTATAAAGGCCCAAACTTCATCGACAGTCCATACTGAGGGGTCAGTTTGCACCACTGGTAACAGGTCGATGCTCTCTGGCATTTTCCGCATCCTCAGCTCCCGAAGCTCCCGCTCCCTCTCCCTCTCACTCTGCCTCCGCAGGCGCGTGGTCATTGCCGTTGGAACAGCGTCTTCATGAGGAGCCAGATCTTCTTCTGCAGATGGATAAGTAATTGGAAGCTGGAAAATGCAGTAACTACAGTATTAGGCTTTATTTGCAATTCCCAAAGCAGTGCCATAGTTTTAAGCAAATATTCCACAGACCTGTCTAAGAAAATGATCCCGTGACGCCCCCTCAGGGCCGCTCGGCCGACGCCCGCGTCGCCCAAGACTTTGGCTATCTGACTTCCGATTCCAACGACTGGTCTTGTCTGATGGAAACAGCCCAAATTTCTTAGTGCAACTAAGGCTGTGCCTAAAGAAGTAAGATATATTCAATAATGCACTAGTAGTTTTTTGGACTGAATTCAATCAAGTAACCATAAAATCAGAGTCTTGTAGAAATGCCGCTTAATTGCAACAACAGCTGTCACAGAAATACAAGAGAAAGGTATCTCAAAGGCCATTTAATCAAAACCCTCATCTCACTGTGGGATCAAGTACATCCAGATTACCCCTGGAAGATGTCTGTCCTTCCCATTCTTAAAAATTTTCCACGACAGAGATACCTTAGCACTTTATCTCAGAGTACAGTTCTGCTCTGAAATGTCCACTTAAAACCGAAAATCAAATTGTATTTTCTGGTTCCATTTTCTCTACCTAGCTGATACTCGGTCAAAGGAGGATAGAGGCAAAAATCCCATGTTAAGATTAAAGGATTAAATCCCTTTAAGATTACTTTGCTGGTGGTATCCCAAGAAGTACCAAATCAAAACTATGTATTCCCACCTCCTGAATAGGAATGTAGCAGACATATGAAAAAGGTCATGTCCAGATACACTGATGCCAAAAAAGAATTATGTGATGACTAGAAATGGGAAACTCTTCCCCATTTCTAAAACTTATGGTATTAAACATCAGCTTTCTAGTTGTTGCAATGGAAGACTTTCCATTCAGATGTTGACTGTGAATTCTTGCTCTCTTAACTAGGAGAGATCAATCCATTAACCAGATAATGATAAACAATAACTACATAGAGTTACCTTTTGGCACAGGATGTGGAGCAGAATCTTTTTGACCGCAGAAACTTATTGGGATATCCCATTTTTCCACAAAATTCACACTTCAGAAGATCATTTTCAATTTCATCCAGTCCCTCTGAAGAAGGAATGAGGAATAAAGTTAGTTCCAATGACACAAAACTATGTTCACATCTCTCACCTCAAGAAGGCAAAAGATCTTCAAATATTTAACACATTCAATTAAATACTTTGATTAACAGACAATTATGCAAAGATAAGCAAGTAACAGATTTAATTCTGTCTTGAAAAGATCTTGAGCAAACTGAATCTTAATGAACCTTCAATTAAGTTATTCAAAGAACTTAATCAGTTCCTTGTTGAATTTCAAGCCATCCATGAGCAGGTCTGCCCTCAAACACAGCAAGCAATTCAAAAAGAAGGGTTACATTCCTCATGAATTGCTTCATAAGGAGTTCATTAGGAGAACCAGGCCTTCCACAGTCTAAACGCAAACTCTCCTGTAATGACATAATGAATTAACCTTTTAAAGAACTTTCTTTGAATATGCAGCTGCTACAACCAAAGGGACTTGTGAAAGCAAAGAAAACATTGAATCTTGAGTATATATAACATTCAATCAATGAAAAAGATAAGCAGGATGCAATAAAGAAAAGGATTATATCATCTGCTGATTTACAGCTTATTGTTACAGAGTATTTTCTGTTATTGGTGAAGTGAGACTGGCATTTTCCTCCTCTACAAAAAGCACTAGTGCAGCAAAGAGCTGGAAATACTGAGAAGGGTATTTGAAGGGTGTTTCTATCACACACAGTCATACCTGGTTCACTATCAGAAAATCTCCTCTATTTAACTTCTATGTACATGGACATGTCTCAGTGTTGGAGGTTTCCTACCAGTGAATCTAATGAGCAGTTACAAATTCTCTACATAAACCTAACACCAGCTGTAAGGAACAATAACTAAACCCAAAACTATGAGAGTTAGGATAATACCACAAAACAGACAAGCTGTCTGAAATCTGAAACACAGCATAGTGTTAATACTGAAAACTGGATTAACATCTAATGAAACAAATTAAGGACAAAATAAGTGCTGCAAAGAGTTTTGATACGGAAGAGGGAATAGAACTGTTTTAAGAGGATGAAAGAAAGAGCTGCATTAAGCCTAAATTTAAGCATTTCACCAATAATACCTCTGGTGAAATAAGGATACAAGCTGTGGGAAAGAAAACCCAGGGGTGACTAAAAAGTTCTGAACTTTCAAATCTTAGATGAATTTATACGAAATTGTGTGTTCACGGAATAACTTGGTTTTTCTGGGGCAGGCCACAGTTTGATTCCCATTTCATAGCACACAGAACTGGAGGGGGGAAATAGGAATTTAAACAAAAACTACAAACCTTCTGCAATCATATCCTCTATCTCTGTGTCTGATGAGTTGTCTGCATGTTTTGTGTTCTGCAAGTCTGACTCAACACACACCACACTCATTATCTGACCCTCCACCAGCAATCTCTTCTCTGCAGGCTGTTCTACCAGCAAAGATGAACGACTGACCTAGTGTAATAAAAACAAAGCCACAGTGAGTAATTAACATTATTCACAACAGTGAATAATTAAAAAGAGTATTTGTGACTTAACAGTTGTAACTGAGATGATCAGCTTCTACTTCATATCAATGAAGCATAATTATATTGTGCCAAAGCTCATTTCTCAAACAAATTAAGACACACTCCTGCTCTGCAGAGTTTGCAATTATATTTAACAAAGGAAGAAACACATTATATCTACAGAAATGAAGGAATGGGAAAATGGGACACACATTAAATTAGTAAAACATATTTTAAATTGTCAGTTTGTGATTTAAAATTTTCAACAGTAATTCTTACCAGACACAGCACTAATTACACCTAGCTGTTAAGAGCCTGCCAGTGCTTGAAACAACAAATTGTAACATTTTAGAATTTTAACACAGACTCAGCTCTGAAGTTTAAATTAAGGTGTTGCTTAAATTGAGGGATCCAGGAGGCAGACAAATGTAAAAAAGTTATTTCAAATGATAGCCTAAACCCACTCTCTATAGTTATCTCTAGATATAGCTTACTAAAGTCACCAATCAGTGCAGAAAACACCAAAACCAACATCTGAAACATAATTCAAGATCTAAATATCTACAACCCACAAATAACATCATTCTTATAAAGAGTTAATTTCAAAGTTTAGTAGCAAAATATTCCTAGCAACTTTTAGACTTACAGGGAATGGCTCCAACCCCTCCTGAATCACAAAGCCTTCGATGACGTGGGTCAGGATCTGGGGTTTAACAATAGCTTGTGGAGGTTTATTTTCTAGGCTGGGGATGCTATTGGGCATGGATGTGCTGTTGCTCCTTGTCGTTGCTGCTGGAAGCAAAAGAGGTGGTGGTGGAATAGAGGCATGGGAAGGATCAGATGGAGATTTAATTACTGAGGCACTGACTGATGATGTCACTGAAGGCAGTCCCCCATGTTCTGCAAAAAATAACAAAACACATTATATTTTATCACTTATGTATAAATCCCCAAGACTCATGCCTGCAGCCATCAACCCCTAACACAGGCTCTTCCCTAGGCTTTAAAGATTCCACTTTTAAAACAAGATGGTTTATCTCAACAGACTATTCCACAAACACACCCTCCTCATACAAACATTTTTCCTTTACTCAGTACCTGCAAACTACAAACATAGTTGGCCATTAGAAACTTACACAAATCAGAAAACCAAAAGCTACATTAATTTGGCATTTGTCCTCACCTGACAAAGGATCTTCTGAATTAAGAGCATCTCCGTTGCCCAAGGTTATGGCTGGTGGGGACAAGGTGGGTGGTGTCGGTGTTCTTGCCATGTGGACACAATCTGAGTCCTCGGGCATCTCCTCTTCACACACATTCTCCACTTGGTAAATCTGCATCCAACAAACTATTGCTTTAGAGAGATTTCCATTCTATCTTAACACCTTAAAAGAGTTGCATAAATACAGCTTTAAAAATAAATTACCAGTTCAAATATGTTAATATTTTAATAAAATACTGGTTCCCAAAATGCATACCAAACTGTGAATTTTGGGGCTATCACAATATCTATGAGAGTAAAATTATTTTGTTACAAACAGCAATACATAAGTAAACACAGTTGTCCAGAGCAGAGAACTTGACTTTTTCAATATGTGTATTCTTATGTGTATAGTTTACTGTTATTTACACATACATTTGATGTTATTTAAATACATCTGCAAAATTCAAGTTTAATGACAAGTCTACAAATTGTTCTATCTTATACAGCAGTGTAATCAAGCTGAATATTTCAGAAGTATTTCACACCAAGACTATCAAGCATTAGTGGTTATAAGAGATTTTAATGTCTTTCCCACAAAAGTATTGAAATAAATTTACATAAATTCCTGACAGTCAGTTTAGCAGATTAAAACGTAAAACACCACCCTGTCAAAAGCAAACCTGGCTCCTACTCTTTTGCCCAATTTCTCCATGAAATAGCAAAGTTGGGATTACTACCCTCTTTAAATAAATTAAAAATGAACAGCACACCCCTTCCTTAACCTGTTGAAAGCCTCAAAAAAGCCTACAAGAGCTGCTGATTCTTTTGCTCAACTTAATCTCATGAGCATTTTACCACTAAAGCCCAGCAATGCCATCTTAAATGTCAGCCTTATTTGCATATAATCTCTTTTCCTGTACATGATTTTAATCTAGTGATTGAAAACCTTCAATTACAAAGTGCAGATAACTGAGACAAACACTGAACCAAATTAAATGGTGGTGACAGGAATTGCCAAAACAGCATCAAAATTTCCCTATTCTTTTATGAAGAGGATATTTTTAATGGTAGTACAAAAGTAATTATCCAGAAACATATTGTCTTAATAACCTGATATGCGCCTTCCAACTAGTATAGATTGTTCTCCTAATCAAAATCTATTTGTATTGAGGTAAAAGTTTACACGTCACATTTACCAAAATTCTTTATATAAGCATTGTCGTATATTACTTACTTTTTTAGACTTCAAATACGTTGTCATTTCATTAAGAAACAAGATTTTAGATCTCAAATTTACACTTTCACACTTCCTGGTTGATATTTTTGACTGATGATACATTAATAAAAGCCAACAAAACCCCAAATCAAAAAAGCCTATTGTTTTCTTAAAACTCAGTTCTGTAATCAATAGGTTTCTTATCCTCTGTCTAGCACCTGATTTAGGTCCCTTTGAAGTCAACGGGCCAGACTTACAGCTCTGGAGTAGCCCAGAGAAAGAATAAAGGATGCAATGTTACCACTCACCACTGGAGTTTCAATCGGAACTGACGGCTGCACCTGCAGGTTTACTGCGACAGTCTGTGGCGGAGGAAGAGTTTGAAATGGCAGCTGGACCAAAGCCTCTGCAGCAGGAAGTTCTTCCTCAGAAACCAAAGCGTTTTGAACCAAAACCTGGCCCTGGGACAGAATTTCAGGCTGCACTTGTAAAGACTGCACAGACTGCAGGGGCAGCGGTTGGATCTGGGTTGAGGAGGCAGAGAGTTGAGGCGGAGCTGCCAGAGGGATGGGAGCGGATTGCAGGGCTGGATACTGCTGGTGTGGCGTGGAGGACACGAGCTGCTGGCCCGGGGAAACCAAGCTGGGCGGCTCCACGGCCCCGATGTGCACGGCGGAGGAGGGAGGGAGCGGCAGGTGCGGCGGGAGGCTGAGAGGCTGCGATGGCCGCACGGGGTTGGCAGCAGCCGCCTGGGGAGCGGCCGGCTCGGGCTGTAGAGCCGCCGGCACCAGGGAGCTGGCCGGGGACTGGATAAGGGCTTGAGGGTGAATAATTATGGTGGGTGACTGACTCGGGGAGTGGGACGGCGGAGGGGACACCACCACTGACTGCTGAGCTGACTGGGATGGGGTAGGAGAGAGCGTGAGAGGCGGAGGATGGATGTGGATAGGGGAGCAGTGGGACTGGACGCTGCTGGGAGCGGGAGGCAGCGCATGGCTGGGGAGGGGCAGACAGTGCTGGGATGGAGGCGGTTCCTGGCCCGGAGGAGTTTGGAGTGCAATCGGCTGGACTTGCTGTTGCTGCTGCAGGATCAGCTGATGATGGGAAATCTTTGGAGATGTCGAATGGAGTGGGATCTGCTGATGTTTTACTAGAGAATGAGGTTGTAATGGAGAATATGAAGCTGTGAAGGAAGGGGAAAAAAGTGACAATTAGCATTTATTTCTTCAAGTTCTGAAAATATTATAAAATATCTCAAAAATTCTCACGTTAAAGATCAGCACAATTTTTTTAAAGCTTCCAGTATTTGTTTAAAAATACCTTCTTCGACAGCACACAGAACACAAGAACAATTTATTAGGGGTGTATACCAGTTTCCAAAGCAAAATGCAGGAATGAATAAATTAATATGGCCAAGCATTTTACATATATGTACTTTCTATAAAGAAGTGTCTAAACTTATCTCTTTGCCGCTAGGTCTAAGATTATTGCTGATCCATCCCTATTTAAGAATTTCACGCAACTTTAAATGGATTTAACCTTTGCTTTCAAACAGATTGGAAGAGAAATGATAAGTACAACAGGATTTGCTGATATGTGTTAAGTTAAACTTCAGATAACACTTTGTTACGAGACTAAATAAAATTCGAAGAGTTTAGTATAAATTTAAACCGTTGAAAGCATTTGTCTGAACTTGAACACAGCAACTGAGAAGCACAAATCTAAAAGCAGTGCAGCTTCCGGGGAAATCACATCACCTTTTCAGTGAACCAGTGACTCACCAGTCATTTCTTACAGTACACACACATATTTTCCTCCACACACAAACATCTTCTTGCTTTGTCTTGTCCACTTGAGAAACAACTAATTTATGTAGGTTTTTTTTCATTTGTTCTGCTACCAAAGATGTTTTTTTTTCTTACCAGCATGACTTCTGAGAGCATTAGGGTTCAATACCTCCACAATGTCTGCCTCCAACTCCCACTCTTTCTCTAAAAGTTGTCATTAAGCCAAGCTACATTTCACAGAATTCAGACCAATTATCTAGACTACCATCACTTTTTCAAAATAAGAAAGGTAAGATGCAAATATGCTACATGCAGTGTAAGTGCTTCTCTAACTAAGTGGAGGTTATTTTGATTTATCTCTATACAAAATACTAAAATTCTGAGCACTGTTATCTATGGGTTTATAAAAGTACTTGATAAAAGAACATTCTCATGACACAGGCAACACAGAAAAAAAAACAAACCACCAATAAAATGGATTTAGACAGGAGCAAGAGGCTTGAGGTGATTTCAGCCTATATTTTGCTGCCCAGAGATGGGATGGCATGTCCTGACAATGAACATACAGAGACCAGGAATAAGAATCATGTTTGTGCTGTGACTCAATAGGGTATTGCAGTTGTTATATTTAGCTTGTATTGTGATTTAAGAACATTCCTGCCTCTGCTTAATCAAAATCCTGTGCAACATCCAATACCAACAAATAAGTGAATTTACTAATAAAATCTGAACTCTGTTCATATGGAATATCTATAATAACATGGTCAGGGAGCACTGAACTGACAGAACTGTGATATACAAATTAGTTTCCTATAGCTCCACATTCATCCCACCTGGTGTAATTAAGTGGTGTATGCTGGATGTCCGTGTGACCGGCGTGCTCCGACACTCCGGAGCGGGGCTCTCGCCTTTCCTATTGCTTTCTGAGGGATCTGGCTGGCTGCCCTTGGAGCTGCTGACAGCTTTACTGGGGCACAGGGACTGAGTTTGACTGCTGCTCTTTGGTGGGCCATTCTGTGAACTTGACAACACACCCAGCTTCTGACTGCGCAACGTCAAGTTCTGAACCTGGGAATACATGAAAAGATCCAAACTCTATAAATAGCTGATAAATATCAGGCAAAAACAGAAAAAAAAAATTACATTTTGTAATGCTTCTCATTCCGTGTGATCACAAAAAGCTAAAAATCTGCATATCAAAGTATCTTTAAAGCCATAAAATTTAGAGAAGGATAGGAATCTTTATTACTTCAATGATAAATACAGAAATCTTTTTTCACTTATTAGATTTTTAAAAGAAATGGAAATTGTTAATTAATTTGAATTAAACCTTTCATTTTTCTCTTTCATTGTGCCTTCAAAGTAAGTGACACAAGGCATCTTAAGCAAAGGCAAATTTATTTTTACAGACACTGTGGATGTGCACTGGTCTGTGAGTGGGCTTCCAGACACCAACATAAACCAAAGCCTTAGGTGGTCAGTGGGACCACTCTCTTCTCTGCTATCTGTGTGCTAAAAATCTGAGACCTCTGTTTCTATATTAATCTCCAAATTAACCAAAATTAACCTCCCTTCTCATCATGACACCTCCAATGTCACATGAAACAAAAGGTTTGCTTTCTGAAATGTAAATCAGTCAGGGATCATTTTCACTGACGTCTGTTATACCACACCCAGATTCTGTACATAATGATCCCAGATCTCCAATCCTACGTTCTGCGCTAAAATTTCATTTTCAAGCATAATGCCTACCCTTGTAGCACTAATTTACATCATCTTTTACATGAAAAAGAGAACTAATTATTATCACCATTCCCTATTTTGATTACATAATCCCTCAACAGTTAGTACCTGTAAAATGAGTAGCCAGTTTACATTCCACTTCCCAGTGCTCAGTGTGTCACCACAGGACACATACAAACCCAAGTCACCAGTGCTTGCTTCCTCACTAGCATGCAGGAGGCATTTACTGCCATCCTGCCCCAGTGAGGACAAATCCTTCAGCACACCTTCACAGGCAAGGTGACTCAGCTGGAGTTTGGCAGAGCCAATCCAGCAGCTCATCTGCTCTCTGGTCTGGGATGAAAGTAAAGCAAGAAAAACTGAAGCACAACATTTCCTTACTCTTCAGTTTTGTCCCACTTGACAGGGCAGACCTTTAATAAGTTTACACAAGCCCACCTGAGTAGCTGCAGACTGACAGGAAGATGAGGACGATGAGGAGACAACAGGAATGTCAGACTGGACAGCAGCCACAGTTGTCGCAGGAGTAAAAATAAGCTGTTAAGCAAGAAAAAAATACATGCTAACAGACTGAAATTTTTACAATCTGTGAAAAAAATGCAGGGTCTTAAAGAGATACATAACTTACACATACTGATGTACAGCTTCTAAGATTTAGTTTTCTACTTTTAGATTAATTTATTCAAAGAACTATTTATCATTAAAACTTTAGTAAACAAAGAAAATAATAGCAAATTGAAAGGGAATAAAAGAGAATAATGCAAACCAAATATAACAATATATTTGTTCAGCATATTGAGAAAAATCTTTGAGATAAATAAATACACCTATGAACATTTATACAAGCATTTAAGAGGACTTTCCCTTCAATTCTACAAATTAGTGAAAAAAAAAACAGACAAAAGAGCAGCCCAATATCTACTATATTTAAGAAAGAGAGCTTAGATCTTCCAATAGGGACAGACCAAAGCCAAACTTTGCAAGGACTGTAATCAAAATTTACCATCTGAGCTCGTAGATACATTTGAGCCTGGCTTGCACTCAGGGTGGGCGAGGTGCTGCCCAGCAACATCGTCTGTTGGGTGATGCTGCTGCTGGTGGTGTTGGAGGTCTGAGAACGGCTTATTATCTGTGCAGGTGTAGGAGAGGTGGAGAGGTTAATCTAAGGAAACAAAAATATTGTTTCTGTCATGGAAATTCCATCACCCTAGAGTCTAAAGCCAGAAAGCCCTTGACAACAATGGCAGGGGCAGTTAGAATCTCTGAACTGTGAAGATATCAAAAATATATTGAGCCAATCATCACACATCATTGGATTCTGGCAAGATTGTATGTTTTCATTTTTAAACTGCAAGTAACCATTTTGCAGTAAGTACAACAAGCAGTTCCAAGTATAAACAATGATATGAAGTCTGAAAAATATGTCTCATAGAAATACACATTAATTGAATATGTAAAATGAGATTTCAATATTTTAAGAAGAACACCTGAACTTTAATATTTCAGATCTTTAAATGCTTATATTAACTACCTGTATTGGTATCTACTATTATGCAATCTGATCGGGACACTTCTTTGTGCCACCACTTATGGACTTTCAATCCTCATTTCACATCACACTGAAAATGACTGAAGACTAAAACCTTCTCCAATTTCTTATTAAATGCTCCTCAAGAAGCACTCTTTAGCATCTTCTTAAAAAAATAAGCTGTTGTGTCTTTTCTTTTTCTTTTTTTCTCTAACCAGTCTAACAGAGTTAAGTGCCCAGCTCTTTTTCATCACTTACTTAAAAGATTTCCTTGAAAAACCCCAGCCCAATTATTTTGTTAGTTTAACATCAGACATCTTAATAGACTTTCCCTCTGAAATTAAATGAATAAATGGTTTTACTTCTAACAACTGTAAGCCAAGCCAAGCTATGAGAGCTTAAAAAAAATACACAATTAAACCATTGAAGCTATGTACTGGAATCATGAAGAGCTTGAGGGTGTGATTAATAAGCAGGATGTCTGTAGGACTGACAAATCCTACTTCAGAAAACTGTAAAACTGTACAGAAGAGATTGTGCATGTCTGACAATGGCACTTAAAGAAATACAGCATGAATTGAACACAGAGCCACTCACAACTGAAACCTGAGCACATGCCTAGAATATGGGGAATGAAACTGCAAAAAAGATGAATGATAAAAGATGCTAATCAATAAAAGAATGAATGCTATAAATAGTCAATCAGTTTCATAAATATATGTGAGCATTAACTTGGATTATTTAGATTTAGTGCTATTTAATCCCTGATACAGTTATGATTTTCACCTACAGTAGTGCGCTGAATAAAGAAACTAATGCAGAAAATCCAGTAAGAAGTCATGTAAGAGATGAGAGCTCAGGAAGTGATTTCTGCAGGAGTTTGAACAGCCACAGGTACTTGTGGAGTGAGCAGCTGCTCCTCAGAGCACCAAGAGGGGTCTGGGACTGGGGAAGCCAACACTGGCCACCAACAATCACATACAGCACCCAGCACTTACTACAGAGTCATCATACTTCTGTTCACTGTGTCTGTAGTATTAATTTTAACAATACAAACTAAAATACTGTTAATATTTTCTGGTTTTCCCTGTAGCCATATAACAACCAGGTGGGATTGGGAATGGAGGAAGGGCTTGGTGCAGTTACGTACCGAGGTCTGCGACATGCTTGACTGCTGAGTGACACTCCCAGTGGGGGAAGTACATTGCCTCCCACCTGACAGGCTTGCCTAAATAGCAAGAATATGTGTCAAATAGTGAAATCAGAAAGTGCTTAAGTGATGTTCATTTTATTCCATAAATCATCAGAAACAGCCCTCTCTATCCTTCTCTGAGTTAACAGTAAGATGCTTTACTCAGTGGAAATAGTTTTCAGCAAAGTGCACTCTGCACTATGGAGTGCTACCTGCAAGGTGCTAAATTCCTTGAAGTCCTACCAAATTTCAGGCATATAATTCTTTCAGATCAAGACTTGAAGAAAAATGATCAGATGTAAAGTCTGCCAAGCTGCTAATGATGGAGCTAAGTGATCACCTCACTACCTATGGTGCTCAAAATGTAAAACGTGATATAAAAAAAAAATCATTATTAAAACTCATATCATAATTTTATCATGACTAGAATCTTCTAAAAATAAAACATACTTTATAAATGCTCTAAAGAACAGCCTCATATTCTGGAATGGTAACTTATGTATGCACACCTAATGTCTATTACAGGATGCTATTCTAGCCCTTCAGGTGAATAACAGGGACAGTGATTTAGGTTTCTGTATGAACAGAACCAAAACTTCTCAGCCTTTCCCAGCCTGATTTTATTTGCTCTGTCTCAGTAACTGTATATCCATATAGAAATCCATCACAACAAGAAAAAACAAATCAACACAGTACCACAATCTAATGAAAAAGATCTAGAAGAAAAGGCAGCAGCAAAAATGAGTCAGTCCAGTTCTGACACCAAACAGCCATATCCCTGAGGTCTTAACTCCACGTAGCATTTCCCTGTGTAAAATCATTAACAACCATCTCTCTCTCCAAGATCATATTCTCAACCCAAGGCCAACTGAGGTCAAAGGAAATCTTGCCACTGCTTTAATTCAAACTAGGTCTCCTCCAGTGATCACTGATGTTAAAAGTGATGTTTCAGATCTGAAATGTCATTTACCTCCTACATTTTCACACTTGGGGTTAAAATTTAATTTTGCATTACTTATAATGCAGCCAGATGTGAGGCAAAACACACTAAGATGCCAGATGTTCTTTATTTTTTATTTCACTAAGATACAATGCCATTCATTGCTTCCCCCACCAACTTTTAGAGAAAATCATGGGCTGAAGATTGAAGTAGTCTATTTTTAATATTTATTTTATTACTGTTTGATGATTTACATGATGCATTATAATGTATGCAATAAAGCATGGAATGGTTGCCTACTGGAGCATCTATACCACTGGATAAAATCCTCCAAACAGTTTGGAGGATGATACAATTTAAAATAACAACATCATTAAAATGTAACAGTAAATTATCATGAGGCATTAAGCTCAGGCACTTAAGCTGTTATTACATGTGACAGTGACTGTAGCCCTGCTCTAGATAATACACGATTCTTTTTCGGCAATCTTCACTCTCACCTGTGGAACAGTTGCCAGACTCTGAAATTGGGTACTGCTTAAGTGCTGCTGCTGCAGAGCAGCAGTCTGCAGCATTAGATGCTGCTGTTGGGCTGCATACATCTGCTGGAGGTACTGAGCAGCTGAGCTAGGAGGACGATGCAAGGCCTGCTGAATAACCTGTGATGAATCAGTAGGTAATTAATTACAATTACAAAGCACACACCATGCCAACATGATGTTCAAGTTTACCCTTACAAGGAAATGAAACCAAATAAATTTTTTTCACACCAATTATGTAATACTGAACTTGCTCCCTCACTGTTCTTGACCAAGTCACAGAATATTGTCAACATCAATATATTCACCTTCTCAAGGACAGCCTGACAATACAGCATCATCCCCAACACATCATCCCAGCTTCTCAGCTGCTTGTCAACAAATCCTACATCATGTTCTGCTTTTTGAGAGATCAGAGTAGTGTGAGAAACCCAACTATCAAACACAACAGAATGGACTGTACAGAGTTCAAGGAGACCAAATTTCAAGAACAGCAAGAAGGGGCTGGATCCCAAGCAGCACTTACACCCACACAAATACCTTGGATCCCTCTAGTCAACCTTGGTCAAACAAATAGCTTTATTTTGCAAAGGTTTATGTTAATAATCTGCACCCTTAGCAAATGGTGAACAAACCAAACTTTCTATCCTATCTATCATCTCCATCCCCTTATTTGGGAGACAGGCCTACCCTGAACTATTCTTAAGTGGTGTGAGACCCTCCAGTAAACACCTCCTGAAAATAAGCGAGCTATTGAGAAAGACAAGAGCAATTAAGATTGAAAAGTTAATCCTGTGTAAAGTACTGCACAATGCCTGTGTTTAGAGCTCTGTATAGGACAGGGAGGAAGCCCCCAGAGCCCAGTACCTGGACAGCATGTCTGTCAGAGCCGCTGTAGACGGAGATCTGCGGCAGTGGTGTGCGGGAAGTGGAGGTGGTGGTGATGGTCGTTGTGGAAGCAGAACATGTTGTTGTGTTGGGTTCATTCTCCATAGCTGTGCAGCGTTTGTCCAGCCTGGCAGGAGTGACAGAGAAGTGGTTCACAAGCAAGGCCAGAACATGGTGATTTTAATGCAAAAAAAATATCTTTAGCTGAGACAGAAATACAGACAATTTTTAACAGGTAAGTTTCACAGAATCACAGAATGGTTTGAGTTGGAGGGATCTTGAAAACGATCTTGTCCCACCCCCTGCCATGGCAGGGTCACCAGGCTGCTTCAAGCCCCATCTAAACTGGCCTTGAACACTTGCAGAGATGGGGTGGCCACAACCTCTATGGGCAACCTGTACCAGGGCCTCACCAGCCCTATAGTAAAGAACTTCTTAATATCTAATCTTAGCTTCTAGCGTTTGTTAGTACTTGATGCAATCTCTTGAGAGATGTAGTTATAATCTAAGATCCACCAGAAGTAGCAATAAAGAACCAATTTGGGAATACATCCAAGATTTCCAGCCAGCTACACCAGACCATTACCACCTTCCTCACCCCCCACAGCCCAGGACTGAAAATGCTGGCTGACCCTGGACATTGAGAAAAACCTGCTCTTTGCAAAAATCACCAGTGAAATGCTCTGGGGAGAGAGGGAAAGGATACAGGAAAAAAACCTTTTAACAGCAATACCTCACACAATACATCAAGAACCAAGAAACTACCTATTTAAGTACCTCAAATGATCCTCCCCAGTCTTATATGACTTCCCTCTGTTACAGAGCACCAAATGTCATCTTTATAAGTGAAATGAATCACAAACCTCAATATATGTTATGTGGGTGTTTACTGCAGCTTCTTTTCAGTCTTTGTATTTTGATTAACAGGAAATTGCATAGTAGCTGTTTATTGCTTTCCAAAGGATGCCAAAAAAATGGAGGGTTGAGAAGATGTATTTCCTTCTTACCATAAAGAGGGGCTCAGAGAAATAATCAGAGAGAGCTGTAATGTACTAGGAAAAAAGCAGCTTTGCCAAGTTGTTAACAAACCACCCATTGGACACCACATCAAATGGGAACATAATCAGGAGTTTCAACTCACACAACTGGAAGCAGAACAGGACACTGCCAGGCTGCCACCCTCACATCCCAAAACACAACTACTCTACAAGCAGGGGGTTGCACATGATGCTGCAGTTCCTGGCAAACTGAAACAACTAAACCGTAACACATACATGGTCACCCAAAGACCTCTTGCCTACCCTTGTACTGGACACTTGCATGGACTTTGCTATCAAAGAAAACTCATGGCAATCAAGGATGCTTCAAAAGCAGACACCCCTGCTATTAGAATCAAAGAAAAGACTTCTTGTTAAAAATTCAGGTCTGTTGCGCATCACTGATGCCACTTTTTTACCTACATCAGGGCACAAGTTAACACACATGGGTTCCCACTCCAACAAACCCAGCATCATTTCTAAAAACCACCTTACATTAATTTTACATAATGAAAAGTATCTTATAAAAAAAAAAATCCCATCCCCTCCAGTGGACATTAAAAGCACCTGAAAATATTTACACCTACAACTTGTCTAGCTAGTTTTTGCAGAGTTATGCAACCAGCTAAATTAGCTTAAAACATTAGATGTCTCATTTGCTTCGTTCTTGGCCATGTTTTTGGTGTGTTACATGCAACATGTGCAACATGTAACCCCACTTAGTAACTATTCCATCACAAGTTTACTACATGAGAACTGATAATCTTTTTGCTCAGAATTATTTCAAAAATAATATTGTCATTGCTCAGGTTGTTCTCACATAGGATGTACAACGAAAAAAGGATGTAAAGTAAGGCACTCCTAAATTTTTGCTCAGCATCTCCATCTCTCCTCTGACACATAGGCATCAGATGCTAACTTGTAAGAAAATTAATTTTGTTTAATGAAGACCTCACAATGATGCTCCCTAGCAATTTTAACACAAAACAATCTCTGTAATGCAAATTTTAGAAAACACACCGACTTGAAACAACCACTACTCACTTAAATGAGCCCAAAATACAAAGCACAACAGAAAACTATATTGAATATTTGTATTTATTCAAGCAGTAACAGTACAAGACACCACATAACTTCAAGTTACATTGTGCATAAGGTAAATACTCCAAAGTTTTGTTTCTTTGTATCTTTCTTAGTCAAAGCAACCACTTGAAGTAAAAAAATACCTGCTATCCCATACCAATTAACAAACTACCCTTACACTGGACACACAAACGTCGTCACTCACGTTTTGGAAAGTTTCGGTAAATGCCATGGTAATAACAAACCCTGCTGCCTGCTGACAACCTACAACCATCCACAACCACATGGTTTTATTTTATTTTTTTTTTCAATTCGCAACCTCTCCCTGCAATTCCAAGGGGACAAACCACAAAAAACCCAAACTAAATTAAAAATTCCTCCAAGCCTAACCCCTACAGGCATTTCGCTATTTGACAGACGGCTCCGACATAATAATAAAATAACAATCATAACCATGGTATGCTCTGTGGGAATACACCCCACAGCATATGAAGGACCGGCCCCGCGCTGAGGGGCCCCGGTGTCCC